CAGAGAAGCTGTGGCTGCCCCTGGATCCCTTTGAGTGCCCAAGGCCAGGCTGGACATTGGGGCTGGGAGCAGCCTGGGACAGTGGGAGATGTCCCTGCCCATCCCTGGATGAGCTYTAAGGTCCTTCCAACCCAAACCATTCCATGATTMCCCACTTCCCCTTGAGAAGAACCCCCAAGAACACACAACGGGAACAAAGGAATTTTTTTAGGATTTCTCACCATGCAGCAATAAGAAAATGAACATTTCCCAGCACACAGTACCTGGCAAAGGATGGCTTCTCCCCCGCTGCTCCCGTGAGTCAGATGCACAATAACCGAGTCCTTCTCAGCATTGTTTAATCGGCTCAGCGTCCTCACCGTGCCGGGTTCTTCCTTCAGCCCCATCTCAAACACAAATCCACTGAGCAGCAGGCTCAGCCTCAGCTCGCTGCTGTCCTTCCTGCACACCACCAGCTCACGGACAGCCCTCCTCAGCTCCTTCCTGCGCTTTATCCGCACGCCCCCAAATGCAAACGACGAGGAAAAACCCAAAATCTTCCCCCCTTGGGATAAAAACCTCATAAAAAGCTTGTGGCTCCTCTCAGGGATGGGCTCCTCGGTGGCAAGGACCAGCAGCAGGGAATTCTCCACCCAGGGATCCCGCAGMAGCTGCTCCTGCTGCAGCTGGTAGATGGTGTAGCTGTCGGCACCCGTGCATTCCTGCAGCACCGACTTCACCCGCTCGAACCGCGCCTCGGCAGCCTCCGAGCCCAGGTAAATCAGGATATTTGGGGGTTTCCCAGCCATATTTATCCTTTCCACCCCTTTTTCCAGCCATTCATCCTTCTCCTCCTCCTCCAGCTCGCTGCTGCAGCGCTCGGGGAGCTCGGGGATGTTCTCGGCGGAGGCGAATTTCACCGACTCGATGGTGCTGTTCTCCAGCTGMCGGCACTCGCGGCAGCTGGAAAGGTGCAGGTGTCGGTGCTCCCCAGCTCCTGCCTCCTGCTCACACAGCTTTTGGGGCTCATCCTSGTGCTCCTTTTCTTCCTCCAGCTTGGATTTCCCCTCCTTGCCTCGCCCTGTAGGCTCAGCCCTCCCCGATCCTGATTTCAGGGCAGTTCCCGCATCCATGGCTGCGCTTTTCTCTTTCGGCGACGGCGCCTCCTGGGCCAGCTCCTTCAAGGCAGATTCCTCTAAATGGACAGCTGGAAAAGGAAAAAAAAAACAATAAAAGGGGTTAAAATAATGGCATTAAAAGAGCTGTGATAAATATCATTAACAGCAGGGTTTAATTTAATTTCAGTACTAATTATCTGTAACAGCAAGAATTTCACTTGTTTAACACCAAGTCACATTTTCCCCCTTGTTTAACACACCAAATCCCATTTCCCCCCTTTAACACACCAAATCCCATTCTCCCCTTTTTTCACACATCAATTCCCATTTTCCCCCTGGTTTCACACATCAATTCCCATTTCCCCCCTTGTTTCACACACCAAATCCCATTTCCCCCTTGTTTTACACAAGTCCCATTTCCCCCTTTTTCAAACACCAAGTCCCACTTTCCTCCTTTTTAACTCACCACGTCCCATTTCCCCCCTAAAACAACACAAATCTGCACTCACAACACAAACTTAAAAACCAAAACGAAGAGAAGGGAGCACCTCTGGAAAAATACTGCTCTTTTAAGGAGGGCAGGGTTTAAAATCCCTYGCTGCTGTTTTGAAATGAAGTATTTTGAAATAAGTTAATAAAGTTTTGGTATTGGGTAAGATCCAGATATTGAACCACGWCCCATGCACTGCTGAAGGCTGCAGATAAAGGTTTGACACAAAGAAAATGGAGTAAAAGAATATTTGAACCGATTTCAGACTGCAGAATTGGAGAGAGACCCACCCACAGCAAGATTTGGGGGTTAAGAACCCAAGGRAAAACTAGAAAATAGGAAGAACTGTTAAAAAAAAAATCCCATTAATCCCCCCAAAAATGACAGAATTGCAAAGATAAATGATTTGTGGCAGATACAAGTGAGAAGWGGAGAACAAAGATTATTATTGTCAGCAAGAAATGTGCAGAGAAAACTAAGAGGAGAGAAAAAAATTCRTAAGGGAGGGTTTCTTCAGCTGCTGAGCCATGAAAATACTTCAAGTCTGAAAAAACTTACTGAATCTATCCCCACTCCTACAAAACCAAATAAATTTATTATGGAAATTCAGGGAGAAACTTGATGAACAAAACTTAATTGAGAAATTTGATGAATAAAATTTTGTTACGACACATTAGCTCCAAGTTCAATCCCTTTTCTTACAAAATTAAAGAAATTCCCATCAGACACATTTGGGAAAAAACCCTACTGCACTGCAGCTAAATGTTGTGGATTTTGTCATTCCCTAATTTCTGTCAGTGAACTATGATCTACATTTAAAAAAAAAAAAGTAAATGAAAATCCCATAAAAACAAAACAACAAAAAAACCCAAATAAGAAACCACAAAAATCCACCAAAACCAAAAAAAACCCCAAAAATTACACACCAAAAAATCTCAAGCCCCCCCTCAAAAAACCCAACAAAACCAAAACCCCCAAACAAAACAAAAACAAAAAAAAGAAAAAAAAACACAAAAAAAACCCCAATAAAAACAAAAATAAAACAACAAAAATAACCAAAAACAAAAACCCCACCTAAATTGTTCTCAATCCATGTCTAGCTTTGGACACACTTTTATTTCAAATATGAAAAAAGAGAACATTTGCCTAAAAACTTCTGGGTTTGGTAGCTTTTTGGTGGTTGGCGGTTTTTCTGTGGGTTTTTTGTTTGTTGTTGGGGTTTTTGTTGTTGTCGTTGGGTTTTTTTGTTTGGTTGGGGGATTTATTTGCTGTTGTTTTGTTTGGGGTTTTTTGGTTGTTATGTTTTGGTTTTTGGTTTTGTTTTTCCCAAATAGATTTGTTAATCTAACAGACAAGACTTATAAAACCGTATTTTCTAAATTCTGCTTTGGAGCAGAGGGTGGGATGATYTTTAGSGTCYTTCCCAACCCAAACSATYCCATGATCCTACAAAATCAAAGCAGAGCTACAAAGGAATCAACTCCCTACAATCTCAACAGCAAAAAGCTGTCAAAATAAATTCAATTTTTTTTGTAGGTAAAGACYACATAAAAAATCCTAAAATAACCATAAAATGAAGATGTTTGGGTTATTAAAAAGGATCAGGAGGATACTTACAAACAATCCTGTGTGGCAGCATCCCATTATCCATCTGCAGCCTGTCTTCCAGGAAGGCAATCCCAAGGCTACTGAAATTATCTACACTGGCTTCAGCAATTAACTGAAAAGGTTCCCCAGCTTTATAGGCCAAGGGTGAACAAAAGTCTGACCACTTCACAATCTAGAACAGAGCATATGGATGGATTTGAGTTGGGGAAGAGTATGGGAAAATWCCTAAATATCAATATGGGTGGGTTTTAGGTGGGGAAGGTCAAAGAAAAATATCGAAATACTGACATGGATGGGTTTCAGTTGGGGAAGGACAAAGAAAAATACCCAAATATTGACATGGATGGCTTCAGTTGGGAAATGTCACGGGAAAAAACCCAAATATCGATATGGATGGGTTTCAGTCAGGAAAAGTCATGAAAAAGTATTCAAGTATCGACACGGATGGGTTTCAGTTGCAGAAGGTGAAGGAAAAATACCTAAAAATCAACATGCTTTCAGTTGTGAAGAACATGGAAAAATACTCAAATATCAACATGGAAGGGTTTCAGTCAGGAAAAGTCCCGGGAAAATACTTAACYCTCAATATGGACAGCTTTCAGTTGGGAAAGGTCACAGAAAAATACCCAAATATTGACATGGATGGGTTTCAGTTGGGGAAGGACAAAGAAAAATACCCAAATATCAACATGGATGGGTTTTAGTTGGGGAAGAGCATGGAAAAATACCTAAATATTGACATGGATGGGTTTCAGTTGGGAAAGACATGGAAAATAGCCAAATATTGAGATGGATGGGTTTTAGTTGGGGAAGGTCAATGAAAATACCCAAATATCAACATGGATAGCTTTCAGTTGGGGAAGGACACAGGAAAATACCCAGATATTGACATGATGGGTTTTAGTTGGGAAAAGTCACGGGGAAAATACTCAAATTATCAACGTGGATGGGTTTTAGTTGGGGAAGGACATGGAAAAATATCTAAATATTGACATGGATGGGTTTCAGTCAGGAGAAGTCCCGGGAAAATACTTAAATCTCAACACGGACGGCTTTCAATTGGGAAAGGTCACAGAAAAATACCCAAATATCAACATGGATGGCTTTCAGTTGGGGGAAAAGTCACAGGAAAATACCCAAATATCAACATGGATGGCTTTCAGCTGGGGAGGGTCAAGGAAAAATACCCAAATATCAACATTATTGTGATTTTGCAAGAGGAAATGCTGGAGACTGGAACAGAATCCAAGGAATTTATTGAGGTAGGGTTGTTTGAGGTAGCAAAGATGATGCCCTGATGGAAGAGAACAACATCCACKCCAAGTGTTGGGAGAAAATTGGGAATGGAATCATTCCCAAAGATCAAGGCTATAAAAGTTTCAAGCAGCAGAGCATTGTCTCATTCTGGAAGAAAAATTCCRTTTGGATTTACTTCCTTCCTTCAAAATGTAAGCAAGAAACAGAAGTAAACTCCAAAGAACAAAAGTAAATGACAAGGGTTTGAAAAAAATTAGCAGAAGCATGAATTAAACCCACCCCTGGAAACTGTGAGGAAGATCTGGAGCTTTGGAGCTTTTTGTTCACAGCACCAAATAAAAAATCAAAGGTAAAATGTAATTCTTGCTGCACAGTGCAAAYAAAGTGAGCACGCAGAAGCAGCTCCCAAAGTAAAGCTCTTGCCAAAAGCTGTAATCCTGCTCAGGCAACAATCCCTTTGCTCCAGAGTAGGGCAAGAATCTTCAGCGAATACTTTCAAGCTTTCCTGCTACAATTTAAGATCAAAATTCCACCAGAATAAAGGAAGAAAGGCCAGCTCTTAGCAAGAGATGAGAAATCTTTTATTCTCCTGGGTCCACCTCATTTTCACCGGCCTCAGACCACAGCTAGTGCTCCAAAAAATGCCTTTTTTGGCTAGAAATTTGCCTTTTCTAGCTAGAAATTCYCCTTTTTTGGCTAGAAATTCGCCTTTTTTTGGCTAAAAATTCCCCCAGGTCCTAGAAGCAATGTGTTCTCACAGCCCTTGGCCATGGTGACAGCCAGAGGAACCAAAACTAGGAGCACTTCACTGTGCTCAGTTCACATAGAAGAATGATAAACAGAATAAAACAGCKGTCTTTTTCCTCTTTAATTTTGATTTTTTGCCTGGACTGTCACTTTTGAGCTTTGTAAATCAAATAAATTATTAATAGCTATATAAGAATGCAAAATTTTCTGTCCTACAGAAAACGAAAGCAAAACCAAGAAGATACAAAAAAAAAAGAACTGCAAAAGAATAAATGTGATAATATATTCTATTGTATTTTGTTGTATTGCATTATATTATATTATATTATATTATATTACATTACATTATATTATATTATATTATATTATATTATATTATATTATATTTCATATTAAATATAGTATTGTATTATATTAGGTATAATTTAGTATATTCTATTCTATTGTATTTTATTGTGTTGTATCATATTATGTTGTTATGTTATGTTATGTTATGTTATGTTATGTTATGTTATGTTATGTTACATTATATCACACATGCTTATAAATTATATCATATATATATATATATGATATATATGTCATACATATATTATAAAAAACACGTGTATTATATTCATATATATACTTTTTTATAATATATACTGTATAAAATATTATGTTATAAATAATTACASCCTCAATGCAGATGTTTTCATGGAAATTCCTGCTACAAAAAGCAAAAATAAAATAAAAATCTCCAGTCTGAGCAGTACCCTCTGAGCCAAGAGCTGCTACCCCACCCCACTGATCTCCAGGGGCAGGATCCCCCTGGATGGGGATGGATTCCACCTCTCAAAGGTGATAAAATCATTTCCAAACCAGCCAGTGCAGGGGTTGCAAGGGACCCAGGGGAAGGARGAGCAGAAGATTGGAGCAGGAAAGGTCCCACCAAGCTCTCAGTGCTTCCAGCCTCCCATCATGGAGCCAAGGGTTTTCCCTGGTGCAGCAATTCTCCTGGATATCACTGCAGACCAAGCAGCTCCAAAACCCTGCTCTGGTCTGGAGCAGGCAGGGGGGGAAGGCACCAAAACTCTGATTGCAGCCCCAAATGTGGWGCTGTGCCCRTTCCCAGCCTGTCCTTTCATCCCTGCCCTTGGATCAATCCTCTCCCAACTCCTCTGCTCCAAACTCTGCTCTGTTCTGGAATTGACAGTGGGTCACAAGTCCAATTGCAGCCCCAAAGGTGGAGCTGTGCCCATTCCCAGCCTGTCCCTGCTCTTGGATCAATCCTTTCCAAYCCCTCTGCTCTGGAGCTGACAGAGGATGAAAGCACCAAAACTCTGATTGTAGCCCCAAATCGTGCCCGTTCCCAGCTTGTCCTTTTATCCCTGCCCTCAGATCAATCCATTTCCCAGCCCCTCTGCTCCAAACCCTGCTCTGCTCTGGAGCTGACAGGATGGAAGTACCAAAACTCTGATTGCAGCCTCAAATGTGGAGCAGTGCTCGTTCCCAGCCCGTCCTCCCATCTCTGCCCTCGGATCAATCCTTTTCCCAACCCCTCTGCTCTGGARCTGACAGGRGATGAAAGCACCAAAACTCTGATTGCAGCCCCAAATCTGAAGCAGTGCCCTTCCCAGCCTGCTCTCCCATCTCTGCCCTCGGATCAATCCTTTCCCAACCCCTCTGCTCCACACCCTACTCTGTTCTGGAGCTCACAGGGGTCCCTGCCCTCGGATCAATCCTTTTCCCACCCGCTCTGCTCTCCGTGTCCACCCCAGCAGAGCCCTGCTGGATCATCTCCCGTCACAGGAGAGCTGGAAAATGCTGGATCCTCACCCAGAGGAGCAGACAGGCCACGAGCACCTGGGGATGRGATCTCCTGCAACCCCAAGAAGGAGTTTAAACCTGGCCCCAGAACACAAAGGGGACAGCTGGCCCTTGAGGGGCCACTCAGGACAATCCCTCCCCACATCCCCGGGGCTGATCCCGGCTCGGGGCAGAGCCTGATCCGTGGAGGAGCTCTGGAATCCCAGCAGGTTTGACTGCAGCCTGCACAGACCCATCCTGGTACACCTGCCCCTTGCTCCTCAAASATCCATCTCTCCTCTCCTGCAGCATCCCAGTGTCTAAAAGGGACTTTAAACAAAGCAGGAGAAGGATTTTCCACAGGGACCACAACCCCAAAGTGCTCCAAACCCCAAYGWCCAGCCTGGCCTTGGGCACTCAAAGGGATCCAGGGGCAGCCACAACTTCTCTGGGAATTCCATCCCAGCTCCTCTCCACCCTCCCAGGGAACAATTCCTGCCYAATATCCCACCCCAATCTCYCCTTTTCCACTTTGAAGCCATTCCCTGGCTCCTGTCCCTCCAGCCCTTGTCCCCAGTCCCTCTCCAGCTCTCCTGGAGCCCCTTCAGGCCCTGCAWGGGGCTCYGAGCTCTCCCTGGAGCCTTCTCCTCTCCAGGTGAGCACCCCCAGCTCTCCCAAACTGGCTCCAGAGCAGGGAGACAATTCCCACCCACAGCCAGTTAAAAATGAAAAAACTGAAAAACCTGAAACTGAAAAAACCTCATTAAAACATCTACGGGCCTGTTTGAAACATAAACTAGAACTCAATTATTTACAATKATTTCAATGAAGCGATTACCTTTTTATTCCCAATAATATCACAACTCATYTCCACTTTTTCTTTACAAAAACCAGAGCCACTCACCTCTTTTGAAGAGTCAGGTCCTTTCTGTAGGGTCTCTGTCTGGRCAGAAATGCTTTCTGTTACAAAAGCTATGTGTTCTGCTGTGAGCAGCTTCTCAGGGTAAATCACAGGAGAAATGAGAAGGAGTCTCCACCTGTTTAAGTCATCAAGGAACTGGAAAAAAGGGGAAAGAAAAAATGTCTGGAGAGGAAGGAGCTCATTGAAGAATTCCTTTTTAAATTCAAATCTGGCCCTTCAGCCTTAAGGGAAGTTTGGTGAGTATTTCACATTCCCTGTGAGACATAAGAAGCGGTAAAGCTCTGAGCCATTCCACAGGAACAYAGTAAAATAAAACTAAAAGTGATAATCTCAGTTTTTCAGCCAAACTCCAGCTTTCAGCTTTACAGGAAGAAAGGACACAAAACCCCCTGGCAATGTGACTCCTGAGGGACATTTGGCACTGGCAACACCCCTCATTCACCTGATCCTCCTGTCCCAACCCCACTGAGTATTGAATCCTCATGCATCTGCACCAAAATTCCTCATTCATTATCAAACTCATGAAACACAAAGAAATAATTCATTCAGAATCAATTTTGCCGTAAGTTATTCTTATCCACCACTCAGCAGACCATTGCACAAATGTTTTCTCCATTAAATTACAAAAAGTTCCCTCTCTTGTCCTCACCAAAAAGCAAATTAAGCTCAAAACCTGGAATCAGSAAACCAACAAAAACATTTGAGAAACCTCAAAACTTCTCAGTAATCTGTTCTCATAAAATATAATATCAATTTTTAATTTTTATAGAGATTTTGCACTAAACTTAATTTGTCTGACGTGTTTTTAAAATGGCAAACATCGGAAATAYCTACTTTGCTACTGCCATGCTAAAAACACCTAAAAAAGCAGACAGAATTCCCCTCTGGCACTAAATTCTAACACTGAACACGTCCATCATTGCACATCTCAAATGAAACCAGAGTATCAGAATATTGAGGCTCTGGGGGCAGTTCACTGATCCAACCCCCCTCAGAGAGCACAGGAGCTGCCCAACCAAGCAAAYTCTGATTTCTCCCACAGGAAAGTGAACTGAACTCAGGAAGCTTTAAAGYACCTTAAACATCTGATTTGGCTAAAGATCAAACAAACAAAAAAAAAAAAAAACCACCACCTTTTCCAGGTTATGATTTATGACTTGCTGGTATTTTGAGTTTCTGATCACAGTCCAGCCTCAGTTATGGCTACTGAGAGAGTACAGGAGTTTTGCTGGCTGCCCAGAAGCCAAAAAAAAAATTCTCAGTTAAGCTTTTATCTCTCCAAAAATGATGTGAAGAGCTCCCCAGTGATGCAGGGACAGAATCCTCACTCAGAGGTGCCGCATAATAGGACCTGCCCCAGGGGTTCTCGGAGTCAAATGCTGTCAACATGAATTTTAAAGAGACAAAAAAATATTGAATAACAGCCCTGAGCCTATGCCAAACTTCATGCCAAGCTGCAATCCCCCAGAGGGCTTCCCAGCTCCCAACAAACCGAGCAGATTATAAAATCAGTCTGCGTGAGTAATGCTGCAGACAGAAAAAAATGTGCTCGCTGTGCATCTGCATCAAAAATCCTCATTTGTTATCGAGGACAGAGGAGAAGCTGTTTCAGCAACGAGCAGGAGAGGGGCAAGGAACAGAAATACTTGAAATCCTCCTCAGAAAACAATCATCCAACTGAGGCAGAACTCTTCTAGAAACAGCTTTGTTTTGTTTTGAAGAGTTTTATTGGAATGTGGATGAAGCGTTTCACTCATTGTGAAAGATTCTGAGATTATTTCACCCTTAAAAGCAGTGGTGGCAATCTGTTCATTGAACAGCAAACAAAAACTGGTTTTAAATAGAACCAGCTCCATCAGCRTTTCTAATCTTGTTTTCCCTCACTGCAAATGTTCTGCTCGCCCAGTGAATTTATGAAAAGCTTCTCTGCTTCCTGAAGAGCACTTAGCCAGTGCCACGCTCCATRAATCCCGTTCCAGCCTGGAACAACCGAAATAATTCCCACCAGCACACACAGCAGAGACATCAGCAAAAAGCAGAGATCAAGCAGAGCCTTACCCACACCGATTCCAGCATTTAATGACAACCTTAGACAAACCCAACGTGCTTTTAAATAATTCAAATTATCTGGGGGCAGTGCCAGGGGAGTTCCACTGCTAATCCTGAAACTCAAGCAAGCTGACTTTCAGTTTTGCTTCCAGCACTGCAAGTGGACCTGGTTCAGGCAYTGGATTTTTCCACTGTCATGGGCTGCCACAGTCTCTCCCCACCCCTGCTCATTTGTAAAAAACTGYGATTTTCATTATTTACCAACTTTTAAAACAATTAAAACAAGTTAAAACACTTAAAACAATGTTTAGTACGGGGAGAAGCACACAGCTCTCTGTGACCAAAGGTTCGGTTCACGTTCCAAGACAGAACCAGTGACGTTTTGAATGTCTGACACGGATCCTGAATGCACAAACATCGCATGTATTTTTAGACTAAAGCCTTGTGTGTGCTCAAAGTATGTTGCTGAAATTAAAACAGGCATTTCCCAGGGATGTGGAGAAGTCAGAACAAGGGGGAAAGGCCTTAAATGGAAAGTGAGCACATTTAGATGGAATATTAGGAAGAAAATCTTCCCTGGGAGGGTGGAMGGCCCTGGCACAGGGTGCCCAGAGAAGCTGTGGCTGCTGGAAGTGTCCAAGGGCAGGCTGGACAGGGCTCGGAGCCCATGGCAGGGGTTGGGAACTGGAAACGTGAAATGCTACCAAGCCATCCCATAACCACAGCTGTCCTTACAAAGATGCACTTAATGCATCCCTCGGCCCATTTCCTATTCCAACCAGCTCGAACAAGCAGTGAAGAGAGGAAACCACACSTGAACTAACATTCTCTACCAAAGCGCCCACCTGGGTCTCCCCTCCTCCTTCCCCGTGCCTGTGACAGCGCGGCGGAATTCCCTCCACGCGTTAATTTTCCCAATCCCAAATCCCTGCCCGCCACCAATCCCCAAAAACAAACCACAGCCGCGTCCCCTCTCCCCATTCCCGGAGCTCCGCGGGGCGGGGATGCGCATCCCCGTTACCGCGGCAACCGCCGCACCCGGAGCATCCCCGTTACCGCGGCAACCGCCGCATCCCCGCGCCTCCCCGCGCATCCCCGCCGCTCTACCTGCGCCTCGCCGGTGCAGAACACCTTTCCGCCGATGCGGAGGCAGACGCGCTCCTCGGGGTGCGGCTGCCGGGCGCAGAAGGTGAAGGAGCAGCGGGAGCGGTGCAGCCTCCGCACGGTGCTGCGGACGAGCGCGGCCGAGCGCGGYCCCCAGCGCGCCCACAGGTACAGGTAGCACAGCGTGATCAGCATGGCGGGCGCGCGGCCCCGCCCCCGGCCGCTCCGGCCAATCGGAGCGCCGTGCGTCAGTCGGGGCGGGCGCCGCTCCCAGCGCTGATTGGCTGGTGGGGTCCGGCGCGCGGCGCCCCGCCCCTTTTGTATCGTCGCTTCCCCCCCTCTTCCTTCCACCGGCGGCTGAAGGGAACGCGGCGGCGGCGCCTCACGACCGAGCGCTGACGGCAATGCGCAGTTTTGCGGTAAAACAAAGTGTAAAAAAAAAAAAATTAAGGAGCGCTCAAAATCGTTTGAAATGGCTCGGGGCGTTGTCTCTTTGCAACGGGTGAGTTGTCGCCGTGCTCTGGAGGAGGAAGAGGAGGAGGAGCAGGCGAGATCCTCCCTCAGCCGGCGCCACGGTTCGGCTCCTTACGGAATCGCGGAAAGGTTTGGGTTAAAAGGGACTTAAAGATCACCCAGCTCCACCCTCTGCCGTGGGCAGGGACACCTTTGAAAGAACTGAGAGGGAGATGTCTTTACAAACAATCTGCGGGCCTGCTGGTGGATAAGGCCAGGTACTGATAGGTGAAAGGCGCAATGGGAGGAACCATAAATTCCAGAGGAATTCGGCCAGTTGGCACAGACTGTTAGTGAAACAAGGCAATTCTAAATCCCTGGGCTTAGAGAAAAAAAAACCATAAAGAAAAGGTGGGGGGGGGGGGCTGGGTCAAGGGGAGGGAATGCACATTAGAAGGGGATCTATTCCATCAGAATTATTATTAGGCGATTCGGGAAATCTGTACCTCTCAATTACCTCAGCCAATGGTGAGAGAGAGGGAACTGCAGCCGGGAAATTAGGAATAAAAGGAGGCTGCGTCCACTATCGATTTRAGAGAGGCCCCATGGAAATGTCCCATGGCCTCTCCCTTTAGYCAAATAAAGTTACAGGACTCCTCTGTCTCCTTTTTGGACATAAACCTCTGCTGTTTGTGGATTAATTWTACTGACACCTCCCACTGTCCCAGGCTGCTCCCAGCCCCAATGTCCAGCCTGGCCTTGGGCACTCAAAGGGATCCAGGGGCAGCCACAGCTTCTCTGGGCACCCTGTGCCAGGGCCTGCCCACCCTCCCAGGGAACAATTCCTGCCCAATATCCCATCTGGCCCTGCTCTCTGGCACTGGGAAGCCATTCCCTGGCTCCTGTCCCTGCAGCCCTTGCAAATTGTCTCTCTCCGTGGTTCCTGTGGGCTCCTTCAGGCCCTGCAAGGCCACAATGAGCTCAGCCCAAAGCTTCTCCTGTCCAGGCTGAACAATCCCAGCTCTCCCAGCCTTTCCTCCCAGCACAGCTGCTCCATCCCTCTGACCATCCTGCTGCCTCCTCTGGGCTCTCTCCAGCAGCTCCACRTCCTTCCTGTGCTGGGCCCCAGGGCTGGAGCAGCTCTGCAGGTGGGGTCTCACCTGAGCAATGGGGCACAGAATCCCAATTCTTTCCCTGCTGCCCAGGCTGTGGATGCAGCCCAGGATAAACCCTGCAGCTTCTGTTCTCCAAAGCTAACACTTTACAGGAGAGGATCCTGTCTTCCTYAGAAATATCTCCACACTGACCTGACCTTGTTTCAGGACTGACAGTGTCCTTAAGCTGCAGTTCCCCTTCCACACAAAACCAGGAGAAAACACTGTCTCTAGTTCCAATCCCTGGAGCCACCAAAGCCACAAATGGATGCATATAAGTTCACCCAATGCGTTGGATTCACCAAATAAGAAAGATGAAGTTGAACTGAACGTTGACATCCAAGTGAAGAAAGAGCCTGTCGGGGTGTTAAACTGCAGGATTTCCATGTGCTGTGTGGGGTACAAACACAAATTTCTCCTTCAGAATATACAGCAGAGGTAGCAAGTTTTCCTTTACTCCTCCAGTACATCTGTGCACAGATGTTACCAAATAATTTCCATGTTTTATAGGGAAGGTAGTCACAACACTGAGCTTTGTGAGAAGCCATGGATCAGTCTCATCCCAGCAGATATCTAGTGGGTGAGTGAAAAGAGGACATAAAAAATGCAAAATGCAAGGCTACAAGGAAGAAGCCAACACCAACATTCCCTGATGTGTGACAGTTGTTTCCTGAAAAGAGCATGAAGCCACAATCTTTTATTGTTATTCTGAACTTAAGGCCTTGGTAATGCTTGGAAATTTAGTGAAACAGGTATTGTGACATAACAGTTTTATTCCTGAGTGGATCTCCTGCAGCAGCACGCTGGCGCTGGAGATAAACAAGGAACAAATTAGTTCTACTGTCACATTTCAAGTGAAGGGATGAGAGGAAATGGCCTCAAATTGTGCCAGGGGACATTTGGGAAAAAAGTTTCCCTGTCAGAGTGGTCAGGCCTTGGAATGAGCTGCCCAGGGAGGGGGTGCAGTCCCTGTCTCTGGGAGTGCTCAGGAGSAGTCTGGATGTGGCCCTTGGGGACAGGCTTTGGGGTGATGCTGCTGGGGCTGGGGTGGCACTGGGTGATCCCAAAGGGCTCTTCCCACCTTGATGGTTCTGTGATTCTGTTATTTTCCCACCTGGCATTGAACACCTCCAGGGATGGGATTCAATGTTTCCACTAACAGATTACACTTTCATTTGAAATTCAAAGAGTTAAAATGTTTCTCCTTCTCCATCTCAAACTGAAGAAATGCCAGCCTTGTGCCGCTGCCATATCCTGCCCTACAGAGAGGAGCAAATCTCCTGTGCTCCTCACCTGGCACCTTACACTGCTCCTTTGTGTGACTTTATCTCATGCAGGAACTCAAAATCCTTGCCTGGGCACATCAAAAGAAAGAAAACAAGCGAAGGATCCGATCTCCAAAGAAAGCTCTCCACTCTGGAATTCACTTTCTCCGGGTTAGTCCGACAGCACACGCACCACTGAGCCCGTGAGTGCACAAAGCACAACTGTTTGTGTAACCTTCCACAGGCAGCTGTGCTTGAAATTCTGTGGTGACACCGAATGCAGTCAGCTCCACAATGAGCATTTTTGGATTTTGAATTTCTCCTAACACCGAAAAGTTTAGGAGTAAATGAGAAAGCTGAATTAATGCTTCACTGTTCAAGGGAATCTAAAGCAGAACAGGCAAAACCAGTCCCTGCTTTAAGACAAGCTCCTGTTTATGTTGACACAGAATTAATTTAGAGCTGTGGAGTCGCTGTAGGTTTTCCAGTTTTTATTATAGTGGAATTTAGACTTAATCATCACAAGCTTTGACTAAAAAGGGAAGAATTTTARATTGGGAAACATTCTGTTGTTGTTATTATTATTAAACCAAGGCCTTGCATGCACCAGGGAATTGACTAAAATAGGTTTTCTGAAATAACCATTTCAATCAGGGTGGAAGGAAGCTTTGAAAAAACAGAGAGCAATATCAGCCCTGAGACATCCCAACTCTGCTGTGAGTGTGTAACCTCAGCGTAGATSAGTTTCTCTTTTTGACTTTAAAGGAATATTTTGAGACTGACCTTGTGGTGCTTTGTGAACAGCTCTGTTTCCTTCTCCCTCTGCTTCTTGAAAGCTTTTCCAAGGATTTCTCTTTGATGAGTTTTGCATGCTATCAGCACTTGTCTTATTTTGTTTAATACCAGATACTATTCAAAAGCATAAATGCTGGAGAAGTTTCCTGGCTCCCCAAATAAACCAATTTATATGGAGCAAATGCACAACTGCCTTCATGAAAAAAAAAGCATAAAACCAATTTCTCACAAAGATAAAAGGTTCTTACAATTAACATGAAAAGTTTTCTGATTCTSTGTTCTCCACCAAATATCAAAACCATGCCCCTTACATTAAAGTTAAGTGTATTGCAAAGAGAAACCTGACTTTGGCAAATTATTTCCTTGAAAATGCCAATTAATGTGGTGTGGTTTGATTAATTACATAATATTAATCATGTAGTATTGGCATTTTTTCCTACATGTAATTGTATTTGTTTCTTCACCAAAATTCTGCTTTCRTTAATTTCTATTTTCGATAATTCCATCACAAATTTGGTCCTGCAGGGCTTTACCAAGAGGTTGAATTGAGAATCCCTTTGCACCTTCTGGATATTGTGTGTCAGTAGGTCAGGCTTTGGTCCTGCACTAATCTCCGTGCTGGCAGCCTCCATCCAGAGGAATAAATCAATTATCCTCACACACAGATCTGATTGCAAGATCACAGACATGACTTCTGTAATGCAAACTTCCCTTTCCACTATCAAGTTAAATCAGAACTAAATAAAACTAAGCTGCTGAAATTAAATATGTGTGTGTCAGACTGTGATTTAGCAAGATATTTAATTACACTTTCAAGAAGTTAGCCATTTTTCCTCAGGACCCRTGCTGTTATTGAAGATATATTTTGTTATTTGAATATCATTCACCATGTTTTTCGTTTTAATAATTGCACTGGTTTTGATACAGAAATGTTTAAAGGGATTGAGATGGCACATTTTTTATTTAAAATAGGGTACTATTTATTTATTTACAACTTCAGAGGTGTCACAAAGTAATTAAAGCATGAGAGGGAGTAGATTTAGGCTGAAGGTGCCCAATTCACACCAAATAATCAGTAGGAACTCTGGGGTGGTCAGTAAATGACATTATTTTTCGCTTTCTAGGAAGAAACCACATTAGAAACCAAGTTGATTCTATTCAGTCTTTGTAGGCTTAAAGCATTTTTAGGGGAAAAAAAACATTTATGGGGAGAAATTGTTCCCTGGGAGGGTGRGCAGGCCCTGGCACAGGGTGCCCAGAGAAGCTGTGGCTGCCCCTGGATCCCTTTGAGTGCCCAAGGCCAGGCTGGACATTGGGGCTGGGAGCAGCCTGGGACAGTGGGAGGTGTCCCTGCCATGGCAGGGGTGGYACTGGATGAACTTTAAGGTCCCTTCCAAYGCAAACCATTCCATGATTCCATAATTCTCTGTTCAATACTTTCAAATAAAAAAATCCATGAAGTGGTGGAACTCACAGCCTTTATTCTTTGGTAGACAAATGAATCCTCTCTCTTCCCTCCATCAAATTTCAATTAAATCAAAGTACCATCCCTGCAGTCCTGAGGAATTCACCAGGCCKGTCTTTAAATCCACTGCCTTGCACAATTTTTGGTATTATTTTCTCTTTAAAAGCCAAAAAAAGTAAAGAAAAATACTTCACTTTTAAAAGAAAAATACTGAAAAATATGCCACATGTAAAGTCCTCTTTGCATTTCTGTTACACTTTTTTTAGGACAGGGTGAGGATAAGTTTTCCCAAGCCATGCAAAAGTCCATTTACAGGGTATAGTTAATATATTTAATATACAGAGTAAATTTAATATATTTAATAAAGAACCAATTCTGATTCTGCAATACTTCAGATAATTCTGTACATTCACATTCTGTAAAACAGGGAAAGGAAGGTAAAGGGGATATATTGCTTTTTTGTGGAGCCAAAAGCTAGCAYTGAGGCCTTGCAAGTTCTAAATCTAAAATTCAACCAATAATAGTATACCCCTAATATCTGAAAAAACAAAAGAGAGTCTAAAAGTCTAGATAGAAGAAGACAAAACAAAAGATGTTACCAAAGCAACGCGACTGAACAGCCTTGACTATCTCTAGGAAAAAAAAATGTTAAACAAAAACAATCAAATAGAACGGATACCAAAGACAGCAAAATTGCAACTTTTGAAAATTAACAACACTGCAACTTTTACAGCACACCAATCATATACTGACGAGTAGAGAAGGGGCTGCTAATTAACCAATAAATAGTTGCCATTTATGCAAAAAACTTAAAATACACCTATTGCTAAATAGATAAAAAGAACTCAATTCAATCCCATAATAAAGCAATCTATCTATATCTTGTTATTTGTGTCACGTTTTCCGTCTCTACTGAGGCATTTTTTTTGCTGACAAACCTGACAAAAAGCCTCTCTTTCCTTGCAGCCTCCAAGGTGAGAGCCCGACCTTCCTTTGAACTCCTTTGCTCCTCAAAAAAAAAAAAAAAAAAAAAAAAAAAAAAAAAAAAGGGACATTACCCTGCTTTTACCTGAGCCCGTGTTTGTTTTAGGGAAGATCCTGACACAAAGGAGGGGCTCAGAGCCTGTCCCGGCTTTCAGAGCATCCATGGAGGGAGCAGCGGGGAAGCGCTCCCGGGATTGCCGGGATTGCCGAGCGGGACTGCACCTGGGCAGGTAAGGCAGGAAAAATWCCCTTTTCCAGTTGGGAATCTCCGGCTCTGAGTGTTGTTAGTGGAATGAATCAATTTAATAGAAAATGGAAACGTTTGTCAACTTCAGGGGTAAAGGGTGAATGCATTTCTGGAAATGTTCCTCACTGTTTTATTTGGTTTGCTGAAGGTTCTTCCTTTTCACTCAATATTGCAGAACCTCTACATGAAAATTAAGATTGTGAAATTAAGATTGTAATAACCTTCTTCTTCTTCTTCTTCTTCTTCTTCTTCTTCTTCTTCTTCTTCTTCTTCTTCTTCTTCTTCTTGTTACTTCTTTTTATTTCTTCTTCTTATTATTACTCTTCTGACTTGTATTTGTATTTTTATTTTTATATTCAATTATTGTTATTTTTATTTTTTGCTTTTATGTTTATTTTAATTTTTTTATTTTTATGTTTATTTTCATTTTTATTGTTATTTAATGCTTGTTTATTTTTTAATTTCTATTTCTATTTTTATTTTTATTTTTTATTTTTATGTTTATTTTCATTTTCTTATTTTTCTTATTCTTCATGCTTATTCTTATTTTTTAACTGCTACTTTTATTTTTACCTTTATTTTTATGCTTATTTTAATTTTTATTTTCATGTTTATTTTTATTTTTTAATTTCTATTTTTATTTTATTTTTATTATTATTTTAATTTTTATGTTTCTTTGGAAAGCACTTTTCCATTTCCCTGCTTGGATCTGTTGCACAGCAACAGAAATGGGAAATATTGATGAAAGGAGCACCCAGAGGTGGTGAGCCCMCCAAACAAAAGGCAGACCCAGCACCCACCGCTCCATCTTGCTCTAATGGGATCTGTCCTCCTTGAGCTGCTGCCTCAAGAAATATCCAGGGAATCTGTCAGAGAGGGAGGGAGATGCACTTTAGGGTTTTTTTTCTGCATAAATAAAAAGATTTCAGCATTATTGAAACCATCTCGAGTTCACTTTGAGCTGTGAAATCCTAAAGGGAGAGGAGCCCTCAGTGAAAAATGGGCCAGAGGGTGCCTGGTGTGGGGGAAAAAGTCAAATATTTCCTGAGAAATCTGATTTAGCAAACTAAAATGCACTCAGGGGTGCACAGGGTGGGATTTTTGGGGGGGSTGTGCAGGGTCAGGAGTTGGATTTGCTGATCCTGGTGCTCCCTCCCMACTCAGGATATTCCACGATCCCGTTGTGTCYCGATCTTCCTGCAGCCCTGCTTTGTGGAGGCCCTGGATGCTCTCAGCGAGGGATGGGGCGGCCACCGAGAACCAACAAATGGTGAGAGAATTTTGGGGAAAATATTCCTCATGGAAAACAAGAAATTCAACAGGGGAAGCCAGGCTTGGCCATTTCTTCATTTGTTCCTTCAAACATTTCTTTAGTGTTGGAAAACGTGGTTCAAATCAGTGTTCTGTACATGGGAATGCTTGAGCAACTCTAATTTTGAGTCAGATATAGAATTATTATCACTTCTTATTAATATATTATTAAAATATTTATTATKATATAATATTAATATTATTATRATATTWGTATCATTGTCATATAYTATTATACCACAAATATTATAATRTAATTWTTGTAATATAATTCTTTATWATATAATTATTATAATATATTAATATAATCATTATCAAGAGCTGCAGAAACAACTGCTCACTCCACACAGCCCTCAATTTTAACAGCACTTTATATTGGTTTAATTATAGAAAAAAAGGAATAACCTCAGTTTGAAACCCTCAGGCCTAGTCTGGGTGTGATATTTTGTATATAGCGGGAATTTAAATTAAAATTATTTTAAGAAGAGATTTCAAAACTTTTGCTTTCAGATGCAAATTTTTTTTTTTTTTTTTTTTGGAGGGGAGGCATGTTGTTGTAAGTAAACCATGGAGGAAATCAGCAGAAAATTGAATTTTAAAGCAACTTTTACTGGCTTTGAAATGCCCTAGGATTTTTAGTTTTACTTGCTTGGGTGGGGAGATTTTTCAGGCTCAAAAAACAAAAATAAAAATTGAAGATAAACTCAGTCCTKATGTTTTATTGTCATGAAAGAACAGACTCGCGGTGATGATTTCAACAATTCCGCGTCAAGGAAACCAAAGCAACACCACTGTGGAATTTTACAGTTGCCTGTAGCAGAAAATAAGTGAAATCTTCATTTTGAGCCCATTCTAAATGATAAATCTGTCTCTTTTCAGCCAGAATCGGATGGTCAGCTAATAAATTACAGATCAAAAGGAGCCCTGGGCTTCCAGCATCCTGTGAGGTGAGTTAAATGCTGGCACCTGCCAAGTGGAAACTCAGCCCTTCTCTTTCTAGTGCCAGTTTAATTCCTCACCAAGTACAGTTTGGTTCTTCACCAAGCTGATTTTTATCCCTGGGAAAGATGCCCAAGCTGAGCAGAGCCTGAAACAACACGAAAATAAGGAGGAAGAAATCTTAAAACCTCCCCTTTTTTGGCCTCATTTGATTTATTTATTTTATTTATACATTTATATATTTATACATTTATATATTTAATTTATACATTTATATATTTATTTACATTTATTGATATGATAAAAAGCTCTCAAAGCCCAAATAATTAATAGGAACAGCTGCTAATGGAGTTGTTACAGATTTGAGGTGGCTTTAGTTTGCTCTTGATTAAAAGTTGAACTCCAGGTAAAACTTTTTATGTTTGGGGAGCTGATAAAGGTTTCATCAATATTTGGATTCTTTCAGGTTTAAAAATGTTGAAACTTCTAATTGGGATTTCCATTTCAGGAGGAAAATCAATGGAATTTTCCTCTTCTTCAAGCACTTATTCTAAAAGCTGTGGCATCTGAAATTCTGTGTGACCTTCAGAATTCCATTCAGATTCCATTGGAAATTGGCCAAAGGGGAACCAAGAGGGGCCAYTTATGGTTTCAATACGAAACAGTGAGGAATTGGAAATAGAAATATAAATAAATAAAWAAATCTACACCTCCTCCTCCACCTGGAGACACAAAATCCACTGAAATCAAACCTCTGTACCTCAGRCAAAAAACCCCAATCCAACCCTGTTGTCCTAACCTTAATTCCAGAATTCATTATTTACCAGAAAATAAGTTTTAATGTTCAGACTAGATTGGATGGGCGAGTGCTGCATTGTTGTATCTTTTTCTCTTCAAAYATGTTTCCTTCTTAGACTTTATTTGCCCAAATCCAAATCCCAGAAGTTTCTGGACAGCACTGGGGAGAAGGTTCTGGCAAATTTTCCAGTACAAGCCACGATTCACTTCTACAATGATGACACTGACTCTGAGGAAGAGGAAGAAAAAGTGAGCTCAGCCTAACRAGGAACAGCCTTGACAAACACAAAATCCACATGAAAAAAATGGAGAGATAAGAAAAGAACTGCCAGGAATGGATGGACAAACACCTGACCAAACAGAGAAATAGATCAAAGCTCAGAAAAAAACCTATTTATAATTCTCTTTCCGAGAAGAATGAGTCAATGAAGTGGAAAATGGGAGGAAATCCTTTCGTGTTTTACAGACTTTCAAATAAAACTCTGAAGCTGAACAAAAAATGGGAAGATTTCAGTCAGGTTGGTTTAAGTAAAACAGATAAAGAACATTACAATCACAGTAATTAGTTACTCATTAATGTTTACATTCCTGATAAAGTGAAAATTGGATTGATTATGAGTCTGAATAATGTAATATGAAGCCCCAAAATAACCCAAAGGCTTGGAAACACAATGAAATGGAGCGAGGAATTATTTCAAATGCAGAGACTGYTGCTGCTTGGCTGTGTGGGACAGATTTATTCTGCTATAAATGCTGAATGCCCAGATTTCCAGTGCAACCCACGGCCAGGACAAGTCCTAAACAACAGCTGGGATATTTTCTGGGGTTATGATATTCTRTTGTTATCAGATTTCTCCTCCTGTAATCTTTTGCCATTCAGAAAAAAAAGTCASCCTCRATTAAAAAYGATGATTTAATTTAAYGACACATTAAAACTTGTGGTACCTTCTTCACCTTCCCCACAATATTTTGGGTGCTCAGAGGTTTCTCAGCCATAAATGCTGAATGCCCAGCTGGCCCCATCCATTTCCAGTACAACCCATGGGTTCTAA